TTATATAAAGAAAAAGTATTTGGATGACTGTTGTCTAAAGAATTTAAATTAAATTGAATTTCACAACACTTTGAGGAAATAACACATGAACAGGACTGGCATCAAACATCTGACCTAATAATATTTGACTTCAAAGGAGAGCTTTGATACTTTGTGAATCAGTACACAGAGATGCAATGAACATGGACATCTTTCCAGGAAAATCAAAAGATAAAATATAATGATTTAAAAAAAAATAAATGAATTTCTTATTTGATATGTGTAAATATGCTTCATGATTTTTTTGTTTGCTCCTCAAAAAGTTGTGCATTTTGTGGTTAATGAATGTAGCTTTGTGATATTATTTTTGACTGAAATATTCAATTAATGTTAATTATTTTAGCATACTGTTACAGGTAATTAAAAAATGTCACAGTATGAAATTCAGTATATTATTTTCTTAAGATGGTTTAAATATAAGTTTTTCAAAAAATTAATATAGTTGATTACTTTATAAATGAATTTAGAAATGAAATAAAATGTTTATACAAAAGTAAGAGTACAGTTTTACTCATGGACAGGAACTTAAGATTAACACAAATTCATTTTAGTAGATCATTTTGTATTTCTTGCACATTTTAAAGATTGTTCATTTAAAATTAAAATACATTTTTGTATTTTTTTTCTGTGTAACAGATTTAATTTTCTTTTTTTTTGTTTAAAAACACATGATTTTAATAGCAATTTATACAACAATTAAAGATCTACTCAATGCTAACACAAACTGAAAAAATATTTCATATAGTTATAGTCATCAAAAATTATTAATACAATTATGAAACGTCATTAAAAATAGTTAACAGTCTTTGACACCATACCATATTTTGTTAAAACCCTGAATGGAAATTGGACAGGCTAAAATTTATAGATAAAAAATTATGTCAATAGAGAAAAAAAAAAAAAAAAAAGGTCAATTGAAGTGGAAGTCCAAGGGATGATCCTGGACTAAGGACTGGACCTAGTTACTTCAAACAGCATGTTCAATAATTGAATGATACAGTCTTTGACAACATACCATATTTTGTTAAAACCCTGAATGGAAAATGGACAGGCTAAAATTTATAGATAAAAAATTATGTCAATAGAGAAAAAAAAAAAAAAAAGGTCAATTGAAGTGGAAGTCCAAGGGATGATCCTGGACTAAGGACTGGACCTAGTTACTTCAAACAGCATGTTCAATAATTGAATGATGGGAACAAGTTGTTTATACTCAATGCATGCAAATATTGTGTGGTTCTATTCATGCACAATGCTCTGGTGTCATTCACTCATCCTTCCCAATCACATTATATTACCCACTCCATGCCCAAACTTGGGAAGGCCTTCAGTAGATACATTAAAATTATGATGGAGAACAATTTATTACTACTGACAAGTTGACATCACAGATGACAGAAATAAAACAAGGGACTCTAATAAAACAGTAAGCTGTTTTAGAGTAACTTAGTTAAGAGTAAAATAATAGTCAGAATACAAATAAGCATCAGGAATATAAGTTATATCACAAATGCAGCATGTAGTTCATAAAAACAAGTGGAATTTTTAAAAATAAGAGTTAAAAATATTAGTTAGGCCTGTTAAATTTTAATCAATGTATGAAACAAAACATTGTCTTTGATTGTCAAAGTTAAAAATATATAAAAATTGCAGTAGAATTATATGGTATTTGTTTTTAACTATGTGTTAAATTTATTGGTATTATTTGTCCCTTAAAAAAAAGGTAAATATTAAGAGTAAACTATAGAAATTAACACATCAATAGCAGGAGTAGTAGGGAAATTATTTATGTTGTCATTCTAAATGGATATTTACATATGCACTATAACACAATCTAATATAAGGACAAATTTGCAAATATTTACAGTAAAGGACATAAATTGGTCGCATAAATTATAATAAATAATAATTCTATTTATTTATAAAATGCTCAAATGAAAATATGTGAAGAGTGAAATTTTACAATAATAAATAACAAAATTGTCTATGAAAATAATAATATGGTCACAGGGTATCTGTAATATTTATTTGCTTTCCTGTTAAAAAAAAATCAAATTAATTATGTAATATCCTTGACAAAATTAAAAAAAAGTACTTTTTTTTTTTTTAATAATCACAGAGTATATTAAAATGAAATTAAAAAAATTAAAAATATTTATTTAAGTGTTAATTTGTTTTTTAATGACTTAAGTTTTTTTTTTGCTGCATAAAATACATGAAAACATTGTTTGGGTTAAGTGTATTAATTTTGAATAAGAAGCACAGTTAATTTGATGGTGCATCTTTTGTTATGACTCCAATCTTCTCTTAATTGCAAAGAAAATTATAGAAACGCTAAATGGATTCATTATTAAAGACAACCCCTACAATGCTGCTGGATTAGAAAAAAACTAAAACTACATAATGAGAAGTAATGGAATCATTCAGGAAAGAGCAGTACAAAACATATGTGGAAAACGCTTAATAATGCAGTTATCAGAGGGCATAAGATAAGGTCATTGGTAGTCATAACTTGGAATAATTATGGTCACCAACTTAAATGGCATGATATTAATACAGGTATGACTCAACATTAACATGACCAATTATAACAGGTTTTCAGTTATGACCAAGAATTCTACAGGGGGAAATATTCAATAATACCCAAGCACAATGAACAAAATACAGATTTTTTTTTTATAATTAGATAATAGAACAAATGCTAAAATTATGACATGCACAGTTGAACTCTTCAAATGCTTAAACAATATTTTTTCTCTCTTCTATGTCTAACATCTAAATATAACAAAGGTAACTTTCTTATTGAAAGAGGGTAATATTCATCTGGGTCAAATGTGTAGCTTACTCCAGTAAACCTACTTAGTTTTCATGTCTTGTTCATTTCAGCCACACAGATATGATACATGACAAATGCGGGAAAACTGAAGGTTAAAAATTTAAGTCTAAAATTAAATCAATCAATGTTTGGTACTTTCAATAAAAATAAATAAATAACTGCATGAACTTGAAATGATTGCAAAAACTTTAGACTTTAGATGGATTGTTTCATGACTCCTCCGTAGGCGGCCCATCATGAAAGTAGATGTCAGGCATTAACTTTTCCAACTAGGTCAAGTGATAGAAATAAATTAAATTGACAAGACATACATTTTATATGTGAAATAAATTTTAACGTTAATAAATAATTCGCTGAAGAATAAATTTATGAAGGATTTCATATGACAAGAAAATTGACACTTGATTATTTGATACCAGATGGATTAATGGTGTTGACTTCACTTGAATTGAATCTTAAGCTTTTCCATTGCATTAATTAGCTTTGGATTGCAACAAATTAAAAAAAATAAATACATTTTACCATTTAAAAAATAAATAAAATGATAACAACATTTTTATTGCATTCAGTTCTTTCCCCTAAAATTAAGAAGCTCTTTTTGGTGAAGTTATAAATGTAAAATGAAATAATTTTTATCTCCATCTGAACAATGAACTGATTCCATTTGTTTGTTTCTGTAGGTTAGAGTGAACTTCTCACATTTTTGTCTGGCATTTTTGCTTGTTTGTACGGTATATTCAAATGATATTAGCTCTGGGACTAGTAGTTGCTTTTTCATCAGTTTGTTTTTGGCCGATTTCCCATATCAAGTTGGCATAATTGCTCAACTCACATCTCTATTTTTTCATTACAAGATTATTGTCATTACTGATTAATCATTGTTTAACACTGACAGTTTGACTAACATTGTCAAACACATCATGTACTGTCATAAAAAATTTGGAAATGTGTTTCAAATTGATCGAATTGAGTTAAATTCTGTTTAATGCCCTACTATTATGCTGTATGCATTGAATTTTGTTATAAAATATTTTTATAAAATATCAACAAAATTGGTCTGGGGTGTTAAGATCAAGCAACTAATCATAGAAACCGTCTCATGAACTTTGTTGCAACATTAGTAGTAGGCACAATACTTTCTTGACCTAACTAGAAAAGTCCCTATTTGTGCATTGTATCTTGTAGTGTTCTTTTGGGGAGGGACTTATACAACCAAAAGAATCTAAAACGTTAAAAACAAGGAATTTTAATAAATGCCTCAATTAAAAATAACGAATAACAAAAATTACAAAATCAGGAATATTTTCTAAAATGCATTCAAGTTCACGTGCTACTTTTGACCAAATAATATTGATTGATTGATTGATTGATCTCCAAGCGAAGTCTCAACATTAACGCCCCCCCTCCCCCCCCCCGCACCTTTAAAAAAACATATGGCTATAACTACTCTGAAATGTTGGGGAGCTCTTATTGTATTCTTTTTGGTATATTTCTTAATAATATTGATTGATTTATTGATTGATCTCCAAGCGAAGTCTCAACATTAACGCCCCCCCTCCCCCCCCCCCCCAAATGAGTTTAAACTTAACAGTACTGCGGTTATATAGTGTATCCTAATAGTTGTTATATAGACATTTGTGCCCTACCCGTCCCATAGGTCGGAATCAGCCAATACATGATTGACTTTGGTATTGAAGAATTGAGACAGAAGAGAGGCCTTTCCAATCACGTGTCACTGCCTTCATCTAAACTCTAACTTTAAATAAGATGATTTGCTTGATGTGATTGCATCAAAGATGGTTTCATGACCTCATCAAACATGGGACACTTCTGTGTCGGAGCCCACGTCTGAACCCGATTCTGTGCCTTTGATCCCATTAACGTACGTCTCTAAAAAGCCATTTTGCCTTGGAAATGTGCTGAAGCCGACCAGCTCGACATCTTGGCGGCAGCAGTCCGTCCCGGCATCGTGGTGATGGTGGTGGTGGTTGTGGTGGTGGTGGCAGTAGAAGTTGTGGTTGTTGCCAAGATGGTGCTGGTGGTTGTCGTCGGTCGGCGTCAGATTGACAGACTTGATCCCCAGCCAGCCGGACAGAGCCTGCACCGCCTTCCACTTGCGAACGGTTAGTCAGACGTTGCTGTTGTCGTCGCTGATCTGATTGGCGTGCCTGAACAACGGCTTGTTCCTGTAGTGGTTCCAGAGCTGAAGGATCAGCTCCGACACCAGAACGTCATTCGCGTTTTTGCCGACCAACCGGAGCACAAATATACCGTCCTGTCGGAGATACTGCTCGCAAAACTTCACTGCCATCTTCTTATCCAGCTCCGACTTGTAGCAATCGTTGATTCGGAGAAATTTCTTGAGGTAGCGAAGGCGATGCTGCCTGAAGATCATCGTGTAGATCCAGATGAGAAAGTTGAAGGTGCTGAGCGTGGCCACGAAGACCAGCCAGAACCAGATGAAGATGAAGATCTTTTCGTTGAAAAGATTGATCGGGAGGACGCACTGCACCGTGTAGTCGTGGACGTTGGTCAGCTGGCGTATCTTGAAGAAGCAGTGCGTGATTCTCGGGAAACGCGGGCTCTCGGACCAGCTCTCGCCGCGCGCGAGGTGATCCATCACCTCGAAGCCGTAGACGTTAAAGTTTGTGCCGAGGAACTCGTTGAGAATGAAAAGCTGGCCTATAGCGTTGGCGAGGTAAAGCAACTTGATGAACATGTACAGCGTGACCAGGTAGTTGCCGTAGCGCTTGCCCCACACGATACAGCAGTATTTGGAGATCTGTTGGCGGAGTCGGATGAAGCACCCAGACCTGTACTCTCGAGCGTTCTCTATCCACCTGTCCATGTACCGGACTATGTGCTTGATGGTCCTGTCTCGATCGTCTGGAGCGACGTACGCGGTCTCTGCGGCCAGGGTGACAATCTTGTCGAGATTGACACCGGCAGACGCTGTTAGTATGCGCCATAGTATACAAGGCACCTGGGGTTATTGGTGGGATGGAGAGAAACAGTTTGTTACAAACGGAAGTGATCAAACAATTGTCAAAAAAGTTACGCTGTTAATTTAATAAATTGAAAAGTCTAAATTGAAAATTTAAACGATATAAAATTTAAAATCTTTATGATATTTATATTAGTATTTCAAATATATAGCAACTAATGTGAGACCACAGCTTGCTTTATCAAAATAAACGTAACATTGCTCAATTTTAAATAAAATGAAATAAATCAAAACTGAATTGACCTGATATTATTATTGAACTACACAAGTGATGTAAGAATACAAAAGCAAAATAATAAATAGAAAGGCTTGATACCAGTGGTGCTCTTTACCAGAGTTCATGCTCTTTACCAGAGTTCATGCTCTTTACCAGAGTTCATGCTCTTTACCAGAGTTCATGCTCTTTACCAGAGTTCATTTTCTTTACCAGAGTTCATTTTCTTTACCAGAGTTCATAACTTTTTGAACATTTTGCTAAATCTAAACAAATTGGAGGCAGTTCAACAATTCCTTGCCATAAGAAAAAAAAAAGGGGGGGGGGGCACGCTCAAAGCAGGTAGGTATAAGAGTACACAAAATACTACTAACTGCAGCAGAATTTACGAGCCATGACTGAAAGTTTCACCATTAACCCTTCGCCTACCGTTCAGTAATTTCAATTCATCAGTGGTCAAAGTTTTTTTTTGTTTTTGTTTTTTTTTGGGGGGGGGGGCAATGACGAAGGCAATGTGACATGGTGCCAAGTGACAGAGAGGAATGGCTTTAGAATGGAAGGACATGGAACTAAAATGTTGCCCACGCTCCCACCACGCAATAGCAATGCGTTTAAGAGGGAGAGGTAGTCTGAAGCTTCAAGGCAATGGATCCCAAACAACTTTGGACTCGCAGATCCCTATTTAGAAACAATTTCCTCGGATAGTGTTTGTTGTTGTTGTTATTATCTTGGCGCGGCTGTGGAGCCCTTAGGAGCTCATGTTGGGAACCAATGCTACAAAGATTTTTTGGACAGTGTAATAAAACAAAAATGAGTGGGGGAATGTCTCACGTGATGAGTTAGTTGATTTCATTTAACCAGAATGCATCTATTTTAAAGTTGAGTACCAAAATTTAAAATTTGACAAGATGTCTAAACATATTTGTTCAGACTCGGTCACTATTGACCAACGCGGTGATCGACGATGTTTAGGTCTCATCAAGAAAACATTCAAAATAGGTCGTACATTTTAGTGGAGTGCGCAACAAACACGCGCTGACAGACACACGATAGCTATACCAGACTGTTTGACTGTTTGTAGAAGCGCTGGTGATGGCTTTGAGAATATATTGCCTCCGCTGTGTAAAGTTTAGCTATTGCGTCATCACGGTCAATACTACGAGTCCACAACATTGCACTTTAATTAGTAGTTCATTCATTCAAAATATTTGCCATAAACTTATGCAAGGAAAAATGGTTTGAACGGTAGTAATTGTTTCGTTAACTCAATCGATTTGGAATATGATAATGGCATTAAGCGGATTTTTTAAAATTACGCAAGTCACAACATATGTAGGGCTACAGTACTAGTACTAAGCAGGGTTGCCAGTGCTTGGGGTCCCCCCCCCCAAAAAAAAATCTTGGGGTTTCAACCTGATGTCTTGGGTTCTTGGTTTTTATTTTGAAATTATGGAACATCTTGGATTTTGAGTCTTATTGATGAAAAGATATATTTAATTTTAATACATAAATACTTTAACTAAGATAACGTGTTTATACATATATACATAAATCTAGGCCCAGATCTATCTATATCTATATCTATCTATATCTATATATCTGAAACTATAATAAGTGACAAACAACCACAAGGGTTAACCTTGTGAAATGTTTCTGGTCTAATTTTGAAAACACCAGCCTAAGAAAAAAACAAACAACAACAAACAAGAAAACCTCATCGACTTCCGGCATTCCCATTGGCCAACTTGTGGGGCATGACCCCCACCTCATCGACTTCAGGCATTCCCATTGGCCAACTTGTGGGGCATGACCCCCACCTCATCGCCTTCAGGCATTCCCATTGGCCAACTTGTGGGGCATGACCCCCACCTCATCGACTTCCGGCATTCCCATTGGCCAACTTGTGGGGCATGACCACAACCTCATCTATTTCAGGCATTCCCATTGGTCAACTTGTGGGGCATTACCCCCCTTAGGGGAAGATGGCTCTTGAGGCGTAGGTGCTCAGAGTTGATCAAATAAAGCCACGAGGAGGAGGAGGAATGTTTCATGCACGAGTGGTGAAGATATGAACGTGGAGGAGGAATGTTTCATGCACGAGTGGTGAAGATATGAACGTGGAGGAGAAGGAAGAATGTTTCATGCCAGAGTGGTGAAGATATGAACGTGGAGGAGGAGGAGGAATGTTTCATGCACGAGTGGTGAAGATATGAACGTGGAGGAGGAGGAATGTTTCATGCACGAGTAGTGAAGATATGAACGTTGAGGAGGAGGAAGAATGTTTCATGTAAGAGTGGTGAAGATATGAACGTGGAGGAGGAGGAGGAATGTTTCATGCAAGAGTGGTGAAGATATGAACGTGGAGGAGGTGAAGGAATGTTTCATGCACGAGTGGTGAAGATATGAACGTGGAGGAGGAGGAATGTTTCATGCACGAGTAGTGAAGATATGAACGTAGAGGAGAAGGAAGAATGTTTCATGCAAGAGTGGTGAAGATATGAACGTGGAGGAGAAGGAGGAATGATTCATGCCAGAGTGGTGAAGATATGAACGTGGAGGAGGAGGAGGAATGTTTCATGCACGAGTGGTGAAGATATGAACGTGGAGGAGGAATGTTTCATGCCAGAGTGGTGAAGATATGAACGTGGAGGAGGAATGTTTCATGCACGAGTGGTGAAGATATGAACGTGGAGGAGGAATGTTTCATGCAAGAGTGGTGAAGATATGAACGTGGAGGAGGTGAAGGAATGTTTCATGCACGAGTAGTGAAGATATGGAAGTGGAGGAGGAGGAATGTTTCATGCACGAGTAGTGAAGATATGAACGTGGAGGAGAAGGAAGAATGTTTCATGCAAGAGTGGTGAAGATATGAACGTGGAGGAGAAGGAGGAATGATTCATGCCAGAGTGGTGAAGATATGAACGTGGAGGAGAAGGAAGAATGTTTCATGCAAGAGTGGTGAAGATATGAACGTGGAGGAGAAGGAAGAATGTTTCATGCCAGAGTGGTGAAGATATGAACGTGGAGGAGGAGGAGGAAAGTTTCCTGCTAGAGTGGTGAAGATATGAACGTGGAGGAGGAGGAATGTTTCATGCACGAGTGGTGAAGATATGAACATGGAGGAGGAGGAGGAATGTTTCATGCAAGATTGGTGAAGATATGAACGTGGAGGAGGAGAAATGTTTCATGCACGAGTGGTGAAGATATGAACATGGAGGACAAGGAGGAAAGTTTCCTGCTAGAGTGGTGAAGATATGAACGTGGAGGAGGAGGAATGTTTCATGCACGAGTGGTGAAGATATGAACATGGAGGAGGAGGAATGTTTCATGCAAGATTGGTGAAGATATGAACATGGAGGAGGAGGAGGAATGTTTCTTGTAAGAGTGGTGAAGACATGAACGTGGAGGAGGAGGATTGTTTCATGTAAGATTGGTGAAGACATGAACGTGGAGGAGGAGGAGGAATGTTTCATGCACGAGTGGTGAAGATATGAACGTGGAGGAGGAAGAGGAATGTTTCATGCACGAGTGGTGAAGATATGAACGTGGAGGAGGATTAGGAATTTTTCATGCAAGAGTGGTGAAGATATGAACGTGGAGGAGGAGGAGGAATATTTCATGCCAGAGTGGTGAAGATATGAACGTGGAGGAGGAGGAATGTTTCATGCCAGAGTGGTGAAGATATGAACGCGGAGGAGGAGGATGAATGTTTCATGCAAGAGTGGTGAAGATATGAACGTGGAGGAGAAGGAAGAATGTACATGCAAGAGTGGTGAAGATATGAACGTGGAGGAGGAATGTTTCATGCTAGAGTGGTGAAGATATGAACGTGGAGGAGGAGGAATGTTTCATGCACGAGTAGTGAAGATATGAACGTTGAGGAGAAGGAAGAATGTTTCATGCCAGAGTGGTGAAGATATGAACGTGGAGGAGGAGGAGGAATGTTTCATGCAAGAGTGGTGAAGATATGAACGTGGAGGAGGAGGAATGTTTCATGCACGAGTAGTGAAGATATGAACGTTGAGGAGAAGGAAGAATGTTTCATGCCAGAGTGGTGAAGATATGAACGTGGAGGAGGAGGAGGAATGTTTCATGCAAGAGTGGTGAAGATATGAACGTGGAGGAGGTGAAGGAATGTTTCATGCAAGAGTGGTGAAGATATGAACGTGGAAGAGGGGGAGGAATGTTTCATGCCAGAGTGGTGAAGATATGAGCACACGACCAAACGTCGCCAACAAACCAACACAAACAATAATTACAAAAGAGAAAGTGATGCAAAGGGAGTGAGGGATTAATGCATTTTGTAAGCACATTTGTTTAGAGCGTATTGCCAATGCTTTTCTCTACTGCCGCTTCAAACTCCAGCAATTGTCTCCACCATGTTACCAATTGAGTTTTATTTTCTTATATGTCTCTACATTCTACACAACTGGCAACGCCCTTTCACAATTATATTATTCTGAGCAGTAATATACCACCAGGGATTTCATCATTAATAACATTTACTTATTTTTATTTTTATAGATCTATTTGATTTTCCACAGTTATTTACAATGAATTGAAATGTCATCTAGAGAGAACTTACTGTACTTACTGTTGGTGTAAAAATGGGATGAAATTTTATTCAAATGAATTTAGTTTTATTAAAATATATTCACTTTAATGATATTTACTAAGTTCTTGCCCTACTGGAAAGGTATGTACATCGTTCTATATTGTAATCTATATCTACATTTACTTTAAAAATATCTGGTTTCTAGGCATATTGTAAAGAAATTTACCCAAGACTGGCAAAAGTCCTACAGTTTTCCACCAAGACGCTATTAAACTAGTACATGATGTCTGGGTTAGGCAAAGAGCTCCACACTGCTGGACGCTGGCTACTGAGGGATAAACTCAAACACAGAAAGCTGCGTTAAGGCATCTGTTGTTACCTTGAAGAGTAGAGCCTGGAAAAGTAGTATCATAGGGACCCACTGATAATATTCCACCTCGCCTGTCAGTGGTCGCTCGGGCGCCCTGGGTGGCGCGGCGTCAAACGGCACGTAGTGAGTATTTGCTACCCAGCACACGTTGTTGGTATAGTCAACCTGATGAGAATCATGGTCAGCAATCAGGCCATGTGGGCCAGTGATGGGTTGTGTGGGCCGGTCATGGGTTGTGTGGTCTGGTCATAGGTTGTGTGGGCCGGTCATAGGTTGTGTGGGCCTGTTATGGTGTTGGCTAGTCATCGACAGTGTGGTCATAGGATGTGTAGGCTGATCATAGAATATGTGGGCTTTTCATTCGCTCTATGTGTGAACGTCATAGAATATGTGGGCTTGTCATTTGTTGTGTGGCCTAGTCATAGGTTTGTGGGCTAGTCATAGGTTGTGTCGGCTAGTCATGGGTTGTGTGGGCTAGTCATTAGGTTGTGTGGGCTAGTCATAGTTTGTGTGGCCTAGTCATAGGTTGTGTGGGCTAGTCATAGGTTGTGTCAGCTAGTAATAAATTGTTTGGGCTAGTCATAGGTTGTGTGGCCTAGTCATTGTTTGTGTGGGCTAGTAATAAGTTGTTTGGGCTAGCCATAGTTTGTGAAGGTTAGTCATATGTTGTGTGGGCTAGTCATAGGTTGTGTGGGGTAGTCATTGGTTGTGTGGGCTAGTCATAGGTTGTGTGGGCTAGTCATAGGTTGTGTGGGCTAGTCATAGGTTGTGTGGGCTAGTCATAGGTTGTGTGGGCTAGTCATAGGTTGTGTGGGCTAGTCATAGGTTGTGTCATTGGTTGTGTGGGGTAGTCATAGGTTGTGTGGGCTAGTCATAGGTTGTGTGGGCTAGTCATTGGTTGTGTGGGCTAGTCATTGGTTGTGTGGGCTAGTCATTGGTTGTGTGGGCTTGTCATAGGTTGTGTGGCCTAGTCATTGTTTGTGTGGGCTAGTAATAAGTTGTTTGGGCTAGCCATAGTTTGTGAAGGTTAGTCATAGGTTGTGTGGGCTAGTCATAGGTTGTGTGGGATAGTCATATGTTGTGTGGGCTAGTCATTTGTTGTGTGACCTAGTCATAGGTTGTTTGGGCTAGTCATAGGTTGTGTGGGCTAGCCATAGGTTGTGTCGGCTAGTAATAAGTTGTTTGGGCTATTCATAGGTTGTATGGGCTAGTCATTGGTTGTGTGGGCTAGTAATAAGTTGTTTGAGCTAGTCATAGGTTGTGTGGGCTAGTCATAGGATGTGTGGGCTAGTCATTGGTTAAGTGGGCTAGTTTGTGTGGGCTAGTAATAGGTTGTTTGGGCTAGTCATAGGTTGTGTGGGCGAGTCATAGGTTGTGTGGGCTAGTCATTGTTTGTGTGGGACAGTCATAGGTTGTGTGGGCTAGTCATTGGTTGTGTGATCTAGTCATAGTTTGTGTGGGCTAGTCATAGCTTACGTGTACTGATCAAGCACTATGTGGTGTAGAAAAGTGTCCAATAGCACTGGTGACACTTTTGTCTCGAGTACATCATGTGTGTTGAATGTGACGACACTTTTGTCTCGAGTACATCATGTGTGTTGAATGTGACGACACTTTTGTCTCGAGTACATCATGTGTGTTGAATGTGATGACACTTTTGTCTCGAGTACATCATGTGTGTTGAATGTGATGACACTTTTGTCTCGAGTACATCATGTGTGTTGAATGTGATGACACTTTTGTCTCGAGTACATCATGTGTGTTGAATGTGATGACACTTTTGTCTCGAGTACATCATGTGTGTTGAATGTGATGACACTTTTGTCTCGAGTACATCATGTGTGTTGAATGTGATGACACTTTTGTCTCGAGTACATCATGTGTGTTGAATGTGATGACACTTTTGTCTCGAGTACATCATGTGTGTTGAATGTGATGACACTTTTGTCTCGAGTACATCATGTGTGTTGAATGTGATGACACTTTTGTCTCGAGTACATCATGTGTGTTGAATGTGATGACACTTTTGTCTCGAGTACATCATGTGTGTTGAATGTGATGACACTTTTGTCTCGAGTACATCATGTGTGTTGAATGTGATGACACTTTTGTCTCGAGTACATCATGTGTGTTGAATGTGATGACACTTTTGTCTCGAGTACATCATGTGTGTTGAATGTGATGACACTTTTGTCTCGAGTACATCATGTGTGTTGAATGTGATGACACTTTTGCCTCGAGTACATCATGTGTGATGAATGTGATGACACGTTTGTCTCGAATACATCATGTGTGTTGAATGTGATGACACTTTTGTCTCGAGTACATCATGTGTGATGAATGCGAGGGATCATTATGTTTCAATATTTTCATCCCACAGATTCACTTTATAACGTTCCCAAGAGGGTGAAGGTTGAGGTCAGTGTGACGCAATGTGACCTTTAAAAATGACCGACTGTTACAGACGTGATGCATAAAAGGAAATAGTTCAAAGAAATCATTTCATTTGAGAAGTCCTTTACTGATGTGTGAGAATTTCTTCATTAAATATTTCGAAGTGATGTGAAAAGGTTTCCATGGGGGATAGTGTAAATGTGATTTTCTGTTGTTTATTTTCTACCACTAAAAAAACAAGACCAAGTCTATAGGATGTGATTTAAAGTCTAACGTAGGGAGACACAGAGATTATTTATAGGGAACATCTGAAAATAGAAAGAAGCCGATTTCGTGTGGATCGCATCAAAACAAAGAACTGGCTTATCACCCATGTTAACTGAAATCCTCTTCATCTACACACCAATGCAGGCAGGGTAGAAATAGAACAATACGTTTAGTCTACATACGGGGTTTTGAAATGAACAGAGAGACTGACTACTCTTAAGTATCTAGAGCATGCATTACTTTCCCCACAACGATATTTCTAGGACGGCTTACAGTCATCGGTATCGTATTCGTTTGACCGATTATACCAAAATGCAACTTCGCGGTGGAGAATTAAAAATAGAAACTCTGGATTAACGGCAACCACTGGCATGAAACCTTGTACATTTAGGACAGAAATCTGGCCAATCTTTAATTTGGAGCACCAAAAAAAAATATCCGGCAGATTAGCGTCTGTTATAAGATCACGTGACAGCCTGAGACGCTGCCAGGTGAGTACTGCCCCAGGACGGCTACCTTGAAGAGCAATGCCTGGAACAGAAGGATCAGCGGCACCCATTGGTAGTACTGGATCTCCATATCGCTATTGAGGTCCGTGTAGCGCGGAGGTTGGTCCTTGAAATGGACGAAAAACGTGTTGGACACCCAGCAAACGTTGTTGGTGTAGTCCACCTGTTGATGGACCAGGCAAGCGGTGGGTGGGGGATGGTCATGTGATTAGTGCTGTTGATGGTGGCGGGCTGGGTTACTCATTGGTCAGAATATGTGGGGGAACTTACTAGGTGGTGGGAATGTTTGGTCAAAGGTGGGCATGGTCACTCTTGGTTGGGAATGTTTGGTCAAAGGTGGGCATGGTCACTCTTGGTTGGGAATGTTTGGTCAAAGGTGGGCATGGTCACTCTTGGTTGGGAATGTTTGGTCAAATGTGGGCATGGTCACTCTTGGTTGGGAATGTTTGGTCAAATGTGGGCATGATCACTCTTGGTTGGGAATGTTTGGTCAAATGTGGGCATGGTCACTCTTGGTTGGGAATGTTTGGTCAAAGCTGGGCATCGTCACTCTTGGTTGGGAATGTTTGGTCAAATGTGGGCATGGTCACTCTTGGGAGGGAATGTTTGGTCAAATGTGGGCATGGTCACTTTTGGTTGGGAATGTTTGGTCAAAGGTGGGCATGGTCACTCTGAAGTGGAAATGTTTGGTGACAGGACTGCGTAGATGGGTTTGCGTTAGTTGTGTGAAGTTGGACTTAAGACTTGAGAGTAATCAGAGATGTGTGTCTTGATAGTTTAAATCTTTTAATGTTTGTTTATATTTAACCAGAAATTGGAAACGTCATGTCAGAGTCCAGCGCCAGGAGGTAGGTCTTTGACGTCATATGTCAGAGTCCAGAAACTGGGGGTCCTTTAAATCCTAAAACGTAGGCCTCTATAGTGAATGGTGGGGATGGTTAGAGAAGGATAGTAGGATGGTAGGATGGTAGGATGGTAGGAAGGAATCTTGAGAAGTTGACATTAAGTGCCCAGATTTACAATTTTAACCATTCCTTAACACCGATTAGTGATGGGAAATTTTCAATGATTGGTGGCAAAGATTGGAGATGTATTTGACGCCATCAATGACTGTTGATGTCTGATGTTATTAATGACAAGAGTCTGTCATATGTCTGTCGACTAGAAGGTCAGTTGTGGAGGTAATGTTACAAGACCTTTCATTCAAATAACCATGTTGTAGCACTTATGTGTCAAGAAAGTGTTTCGAGACCTATACATTAGGTATTCCAATGACGACATTGGAAGCAGGTATTTTAACTGATGAATCACGTCGTATGAGGAAGTGTTTAGAGATTATATGTGAAATTCTGAATTGGAATATTCAATGATTTTTTATACATGTGACATATATCATATTGAGATTGTTGATTAGTTTTGTTGTTGTCGTTGAAAATGAGAAAGAAAGGAAGTCTAAAAAAGGGGGTGGAGGGGGTATGTGTTTAGGTGGGGCATGTGTGTTGCTGTCGGGGTATTAGTCTGTATAGTTTGAGAACAAATAAACTCAATGAAAAGTCTAATCATGCTAATAATAAATGACATGAACACTTATCATAGGCATTGATAGAACATTTAAAAGATTAACTTTGAAATATTTTTCTTGAACGAGGAGTAAGGCCGTTTAAAACAAAATGATTGCAATGGGTATTACTGCATGTATGATCTACATGTTGCAATGGGTATTACTGCATGTATGATCTACATGTTGCAATGGGTATTACTGCATGTATGATCTACATGTTGCAATGGGTATTACTGCATGTATGATCTACATGTTGCAATGGGTATTACTGCATGTATGATCTACATGTTGCAATGGGTATTACTGCATGTATGATCTACATGTTGCAATGGGTATTACTGCATGTATGATCTACATGTTGCAATGGGTATTACTGCATGTATGATCTACATGTTGCAATGGGTATTACTGCATGTATGATCTACATGTTGCAATGGGTATTACTGCATGTATGATCGACATGTTGCAATGGGTATTACTGCATGTATGATCTACATGTTGCAATGGGTATTACTGCATGTATGATCTACATGTTTAGGTTCAAGACAAAGTTGAGCACTAGCGTTTAGTTTTTATGTTTGAAATATTGTTAGAGAAATTCCACAATGGCCAAAATGAACCATTTCAAACAAAGGCACTTGTCATTTCTTTTAAATAACGTCATTTACAGTATCATTTTCTTTAAAAAAACGTCATTTACAGTTTAATTTTCTTTAAATAACTTAACTTACAGTTCCATTTTCTTTAAAGGACGTAATTTATATTTTCATTTTCTTTAAATAACGTAATTTACAGTTTACTTTTCTTTAAATAATGTACTTTACAGTTTCATTCTCTTTAATTAATGTAGTTTACAGTTTCATTCTCTTTAATTAATGTAGTTTACAGTTTCATTTGCCTTCTAGTAAACGAACTATAAGAAAAAAATGAGCTAGATAAATAACCTCAAGTTACAAAGAAATTGAAATGAATGAAGTTAGATTTGACAGCCATTATCCCATAACAGCTTTTAAAGGGTTATTTTAAAACACACACAAAAAAAAAAAAAGTAAAAAAAAAACCACTATGGCGCTACTCACGTGACTTTCTTCAAATTGTGCGGGACACCAGCAATGGATCGGCTCGCCCACGTACTGCTTGGTGCTGACCACTATGGTGAAGATGATGAGGATGATGGTGGTGTACAGGTGGTTCAGGCGGTCTATCCAGTCATCATCATAGCGGCCCTTCAGTCGTGCGTACGTCGCGAAGCTGCCCAAAACGCTGTCAAGCCTGGAGACAGAAAGGAAGTGACGTCACATTTGTACAGAGACGTTAACGGAAAGATTATCGTGGAGAAACAGATGCTTGTTAGAGAAAGAGTTGTCCGTGAAGATCTGGCGCTATAATGCTACGCTAACTAGTAACCTAATCGTAACAATTGAAACCATATAGTTCTTGTAGACGAAAATAACATAAATGGAAATAGTAATTCGTTAACAATTAAAACAAAACAGTACATTGAGAACAAAAAAATGGATTTGGCTACACATGTAAAGTTATTTATTGCGGTCACATAAAAGGATGACATGCATAAACATAATGCTACGTGGTAGCCCATTGCTTGCTGAAACTTGACTGCACAAAGGTATAGGTAAAAAGAGGAGACGGCGGGACGAGGGGGGGGGAGAGCTTTGGGCATCTTTCAAAATCCATCTTAGTCGGGATTTGTGCAATCAGCTGAATGAACAAGCCAAGGAGCCAAGGATCCAAGGAGCCAAGGAGCCAAGGAGCCAAGGAGACAAGGAGCCAAGGAGCCAAGGAGCCAAGCCACAATTGGAAATGAGTTGACCAAGTTGACCAAGTGATTAGACAGATCAAGGGATTGCAATCAAAGCCCTAGAGACGGATGTCATAGAAATGGCCGCCATTGCCCTTGAAACAAGTGATAGTTTCAAACTGTTGCCTTAACCAAGGCAATGCATTCTTGGATTTGCCAGTCACTATAAGTCGACTTGGGCCCTTAACAGAAGTGAAATATACCTCGTAAGGTCATATCTATTGTCAAGAAGCCATTTGAGGTTATACGTTATCACAATATCCCCAAGGATGTAAGGCAAGTATTGACATGGACAATATGTGCATGTGTTGCCTTATGTGGTTGTTTAAATATTATTTTTATAAGTTTGTTACAATTAAGTACATTGACTGCTGAATTGCAAAGGTGCGGTCAGGCCAAAAAATTGGGACGCATGAATAAAACAAATATAATAGATATTGAGGCATAGGGTCCCTAGATTCCTGGTTCATATGGGCCTGTGTCCAGTCTGTTCAACTAACGATAAGTAACGGATTTATGAGGAAAACGGATCTTTCTGTTGTTGTGATCAACATACAACATTTAAAACACAACGTGGTACACTTGTCCAGTAGGACTTGAGTCTGGCACTGAAACTTGTTATCACAAGTAAAGCAAAGCTACACATGAGCATGCATTACATGTGTGGATGAAGAAAACAACATAAACATACATTTCTCATAAGAAAACTCAAAATATGACAATGAATTAATGTGCTACGGGAGTTTACAGTCTCTCAGAGCAGACAAAGAATGATAAGGAGACAAAGAATGATGAAAAGACAAAGAATGATAAGGAGACAAAGAATGATGAAAAGACAAAGAATGATAAGGAGACAAAGAATGATGAAAAGACAACGAATGATAAAAAGACAAAGAATGATGAAAAGACAAAGAATGATAAAAAGAAAAAGAATGATGAAAAGACAAAGAATGATAAAAAGACAAAGAATGATAAAAAGACAAAGAATGATGAAAAGACAAAGAATAATAAGAAGACAAAAAAGTAGCAAATTAAATTTTACTTTTTAAAAAAAGAAATAAGTTATTTTTTGCATTTGAAAGTTGCTACTGAACAGATTTGTAAGAGTATGATTGATGCCCATAGGCTAAGACATTCATAAGAAGAGTATATATATGTTTAAATAGATTTCGGAGGACCAGAGCGCAGTGAGCATGCTTAAGTGGCATGGATACCGCGCGATATCAAATATCAAATCAATCAATCAATCAATCAATCAATCAATCAATCAATCAATCAATCAATCAATCAATCAATCAATCAATCAATCAAAGTTAGTTAGTTAGTTAGTTAGTTAGTTAGTTAGTTAGTTAGTTAGTTACAATCAATCAATCAATCAATCAATCAATCAATCAATCAATCAATCAATCAATCAATCAATCAATCAATCAGTATGATTGATACCCAGAGGATTGAGGACGACTGAGACATGAATAGATATTTGTACTATGTAAATAAGCAGATGAACTTTCTACTTTGTTGCTTTCCATAACGGCCTTTAGATCCCCTTCAGTTGCCCCATTTCGGAATGGAACAGCAACAACTTATTGTATCAAGACTGGCGATGAATTTACTCATTTGATCTAAACCCGTGTCCACACCACCACCTTCTTCTTCTTCTTCTTCTTCTTCTATATCTTCTATATCTTAAGGGCCCACGATCAATTGATTGATCATTTTGGCTCCTATGCATGTAGATGGGATTTGCCATGTTTCTGTTACTGGTGGTGATGAGGAAATTATGCACTAGGGGTTTGAAGGCTGGAGACAAGAGAAAAATACGAATTTCAACGTCTGAAAAGAAACAATCATACAAACAGAAAGATATCAAATGCTAATATCTTTTCATTGTGACCTGAATTAAATCAAGGCGATTGATTGAGTTGTTGAAATACAAGAAGGATAATCCTATAGAATCTATTTTAAAGCTTTGATATACATAATATTTACATGTCCCCGTATATACAATTTGGTGAAATTATAGTTTCAATACATTGTAACGCATTTCTATGGAACAGCTTACATACACACAGAGTACGAGTCATACGTCATACGATACGTCATAAGAAACGTGTACACATTTTTCAAGGACATCTCCAACTGATTCAGAACACACCTCTTATGTCGGGGGTCAGACTAGGAAGTGTACACAGTTATGTCGGGGTCAGACTTGGAAGTGTACACAGTTATGTCGGGGTCAGACTTGGAAGTGTACACAGTTATGTCGGGGTCAGACTTGGAATCGTGCACAGTTATGGCGGGATCAGACTTGGAAGTGTACACAGTTATGTCGAGGTCAGACTTGGAAGTGTACACAGTTATGTCGGGATCAGGCTTGGAAGTGTACACAGTTATGTCGGGGTCAGACTTGGAAGTGTACAGTTATGTTGGGGTCAGGCTTGGAAGTGTACACAGTTATGTCGGGGTCAGACTAGGAAGTGTACACAGTTATGTCGGGGTCAGACTTGGAAGTGTACACAGTTATGATGGGGTCAGACTTGGAAGTGTACACAGTTATGGCGGGATCAGACTAGGAAGTTTGCACAGTAGAAACCAAACAAATTTCGGCTTCGGCGCCAAAAGTGACCATTCGATCACTTCCGGCCTAGATTCGGTTTCGGCCAAACCAAAAAGTTAAATTTCGGGTTAATTTTGGTTTCGGTCGAAAGTGACTGGGGTTTTCGGTCATTACCAGAGGTCAGACTGCCTGTCTGTCTCTAGGCTGGCAATCCGATATTCATTATTACTGGACGTCTAGCTGTCATCGTTTGTTATATGACTAATACTCTGCGAAAACTGCTCAAAGCTGCATGGTGATCTACTTGTCCTTTATTTAAATTTAATTTTAATTAGGCCTAAACAAATGTAAACAGTTTTGTGGACCCCCCCCCCCCCCCCCCTGGTCCAAATTTTCTCTTGTCGTACTACTTACCACATTTTTTAAAGAAATTTAAATGACTTTTACATTAAAATAGTAAAAACCAAAGTATTCATTAAATGTTTATTTATTAATATTCACGTTTATCTCATACAAAAAAATAATGTAACTATTGATAGTTGACCCCATCATGTTTGGATGGATGTAGAAGGTTTTCAGGATGAATTTCAAAATACCTAAATATTTCAGTTTCGGCTTCGGTTTCAGCCGAAACCAAAAAGTTAAATTTCGGCTTCGGCCGAAACTGAAATTTTAACTTTTGGTTTAATTTCGGTTTCGCAAAAATTCACTTTTAAATTTTGGACTACTTTCGGTTTTGGCCGAAATCAGAAAATCACTTACGGTCGGTCTCTAGTGCACAGTTATGTCGGGGTCAGACTAGGAAGTGTGCACAGTTATGTCGGGGTCAGACTAAGAAGTGTGCACAGTTGTGAGGGGTCAGACTAGGAAGTGTGTAGTGTGCAGAGTATAGATTATTGTTTGTGAGATGAAAAATCAATTAGTCAACATTTCTACGGGTACTCAGTTTTTCCGAATATCACCGTAGTGACCTAATGAGAGAACAGAACTATTGAACTTAAAGAACAATATCACCGTAGTGACCTAATGAGAGAACAGAACTATTGAACTTAAAGAACAATATCACCGTAGTGACCTAATGAGAGAACAGAACCATTGAACTTAAAGAACAATATCACCGTAGTGACCTAATGAGAGAACAGAACCATTGAACTTAAAGAACAATATCACCGTAGTGACCTAATGAGAGAACAGAACCATTGAACTTAAAGAACAATATTGTCACAAATGACACCCCCCTCCCCCAAGACATTCTCAGAATCGAGTGTGTGTGTGTTTATGTGTGTGTGTGAAGTCGAATGGAGCTAACACCTCAAATCTGTTTGGCTTTATGATTCCCCCAGGACCAGCCACTCGTGCAGACTAATAACCAGTCAGAGTTATGGGTCGTGAGTTCGGCCAGGTTATGAAGTTGGGGTGTCAAATTTCAATCTAGGGATCACGTGATTAGTGGTGCGTGCAAAGATGAAATGGCACCCCGAGTCAATTGATCAGATGGTTTCTAAGCGTTATGGCATTTACTGATGGTATGGTTGATATATTGGTGGTGAGGTGTCTTCTGATGGGTTGGTGTCTTATAGTCGGCTGGTGTCTTATGATGGGCTGGTGTCTTATGATGGGCTGGTGTCTTCTGATGGGTTGGTGTCTTATAGTCGGCTGGTGTCTTATGATGGGCTGGTGTCTTATGATGGGCTGGTGTCTTATGATAAACTGGTGTCTCATGATTGGTTGGTGTCTTATGATGGGTTGGTGTCTTAAAATGGGCGGGTATCTTATAATGGGCTGGTGTCTTATGATGGGCTGGTGTCTAATGATAAACTGGTGTTTTATGATTGATTGGTGTCTTATGATGGATTGGTGCCTTATGATAAACTGGTGTCTTATAGTGAGTTGGTGTCTTTTGA